AGTGAGGGGTTGGATAGGATTGGTTCCTGGGTCGGGTTTTGAAACGGGTTACTGATAGTGATCTTGGACCGTTGGATTGGATTGATTGGAACGACTGAGATGGATTTGCCTGAAACGGCGTCGTTTTCAGGAGGTGCCTGGGCAGGCCTGGACTTGGACTGGGTCTGAGTGCTGGTTGGGCCTGTTTTTGTTTCTATTCTTTTGGCCCAAACCGATTTCCTTCACTCTTTGTTTTCTAATTTCATTTTTTCTTTTAAAACAAAATATAAAAATAATATCTAATAAAATAACGAAATTAAAACTAAACAACAATGCAACATTTTAACACAATTATCACAAAATATTTAAGTAAGTTAACTAAAAGCCTAGAACGAACGATGCACACATATATATATTTTTTGAATTTTCTTTTACTGACCGAATTATGGTTTAATCATCCTAACATACATATTTTGTATTTTTGTTTGTTAATGATTAAATGCAAAATGGACAGACCCACAAATGACTAACAACACATGTCACGAAAACTCGAACAATTTGTACAGCGAAACTATTTGTTACTATTTTTATTTTCTTTTGGAGCGATTGTTCGTAAAGCAAAAATCACGTGCTTACACAGATGGCACCTATTCTTTTGATAGATCGTTACCTTTTACTGCGGTAACGTAATGGATCAAGTGATCCTCCGGGTCCGTGGTGCCATCATATATTTTCAAATATGGCATCATTTTGAAGGTCTTCGGAATAGAATGGGGAGCTGCCCCTTCACTATATGGTTGTTCGATGAATCGGCCCACATCACGTTTTGGTAACAACTTCGGAGCGCCTAGGATTTTATCAACCCTTTCCTGATATTCCTTCATCTGGTCGCGGAGTGTTTTGTTCTCATTTTCCATCTCTTCCATTTTCTTTAAGATGGTTGTAAGTGCATCGTTGCCTGCATCGGCAGCAGTACATGTGTTACTTGTTCGTGTAGTGTCTGACTCATTGGCAACGATTGCGGGTAATGTGTCTTCGATATCTCTCTGAACGGGTTTCTCGAGCATGTAGCTCAAGGTGTTTGTCAACCATTCTTCTAATAGCCTTTTCACGGCCAGTGGTTCTTCTCCTACTACGGATGTTGAGGTTTCCCTCTCGTGCAAGACCGTTAAACCCTCGTACGGGAGGGGGGGGGTAAGATCTCTCCCTCAGGTGTAGCGCTCGGCGTTGCANGGTTTCCCTTTCGTGCAAGACCGTTAAACCCTCGTACGGGAGGGGGGGGGTAAGATCTCTCCCTCAGGTGTAGCGCTCGGCGTTGCATTTTCATTGTCTTCTCCACTGGCTTCGTTGAGGGAATTCAGGAGGTTGTTCGTGACACCTACTATTGCCTTTAGCCTTGCTTCTCCCTTTCCTGCTATTGTTGGCCTTTGTGAAGCTAAAGAGAGCTGATTATTTCTTTCAAGAATCTAGATGAAACTATGATTTCAGCTATAGAAATCCCCACAGACGGCGCCAAATTGTTTGACTCAAAGATATCGAAACCTTTTTGAACAAATCAATCAAAGATGAAGGGGTAAATCTTAGCTAAGTATAATAATCTGTAGAACGAAAGGCGAATAAGGAGAGGACGGATAACAAGACTGTTTTTTTATATATATCGATGAAACTCCTACAATGAATCTTCTCACTCGTTTATGTAAGCAAATTTGCAACGAGTATTATGAATCAATCCAGAAGTCTCCCCTGTACAAAGTTGTTGTTCACTATATATATATGGAGTAAAACCTTTCTAAGCCGTAAAAGGCAAGTTATAAAGAATATTCAAAGGAATATTCTTAATGTTCCCCAATGGGCCTATATTATTACAGGGGTCATACAATCTCTTTGTTTGTCTTAAGGTCGTCCTCTGCAGGACGTTAGGTTACGAGGACCTCGCCGTTCGTCGTTGATTGTTCAAATTTGGACCCATACAATAATAAGCATACTGCAGACGATAAAAAGCAAGGAAGAAAAACAAATGCAGTTGAGGGTAGTGCCAGCATTATGATTGTGACTTCTGTTGATATTGTGATGGTTCATAGCTCCAGCTGCGTACACTGGGATCACACCTGCTGTAGCAGTATAAGGTGACTTTCTTGAACCACCGCCGCGCGATGCTCTTCCTCCTGAGCCGCCACTGTGACCACCACCGTGCCCACCAGCTGCACCACCTCCACGTTTATTGACCGTCACAACTTCGTCTACGCGGATTGACAATTTTTCTTCTGTTGAAGGCACATAATGTAATAAGTGGCAATTAATTAAAGTCGTTAAGTTTAAATTACATCTACAGTCAGACTTCTATATAACATCGTATAAAAGTTAAGCTTTTTCTGTAATCAATTTCTATACTATGTTATTATATATATATATATATATATATATATATATATATATATATATATATATATATATACTAGTTTTTCGGAACGTGCGCTGCACGTGTATTCCTAGTTATGTAAAAAGAATTATAAAATAATGACTATGAGCAAATAATTATAAGTTTATTTGAATGATTAATGTCGTGGAACGTCATATCGTGACTTGTTTGTCTAGATCACGATGATCAGATATTGTTTAATAGCCAATCTGACCAAGCTTCTAAAATTAATTTATTTTGAAAAGTGTTTTTCTCAAAAGTGCTTGTAAAAAAGTAGTTTTGGTGAGAAACAGTTTGTGTTTGACTAATTAATTTAAAAAATACTTTTGAGCAACAATTAGTATATGGGCTTTTAAAAGTGCTTTTAAGTGTACTTTTCTCAAAGTGTTTTTGGGAAGAATTTTTTTTTTTCTGTTTCTCAAAAACTTCTTCTACTCAAAAGTACTTTTTTCCCTTCTAAAAGCTTGACCAAACACCTCAACTTTGAAAAATAGCACTTTTGGCAACAACAATAAAAAAATCTTTTTGGCTAAAAAGAAGCTTGCCCGAACAGGCTATAAATGATGATGAACAATAAAATTAGGCAAATGAGTTTTTTTAAACGTATTTTGAATGTACGAGGTACAAACATGTAATGAAGTGTATCCCACCTAATCAATACTACCTTATAGATGATATTCCTTAGTGTAAGTTCCTTTTCTTCATTTCAGATGTTGTATTATCACTACAAGGACTCTTGTTAATGAAATTGATATCCTCTCTTAAAAGTGTACGTAAAGAGGACCATGTCAAAAAAATGAGTGCTGGATACAAACCAACATTGAAGATTGTCTGTCCATGGGCTTTACTTCCTCCGTCCCATTTTAATTGTTGTTTTAACTCAAAAAATTATCCTAAAATAATTGTCATCTTAGGAATTCAAAATTAAATTTAATTATCAACTGTTTCCAACTATACCGTTAGTATTAAAGTAGTACTCCCTTCGTTTTAAGAAGGATAATACTTTTCGAATTTCGAGAGTCAAACTTATTAACTTTGACCATAAATTCATATATATAATCTTTAAGTTTTATTTTTTTTAAAGGAATAGCTTACTAAGTTACCTCTATATTTAGTAAGCGATATTTTTTTACCTTCTAAATGGACATTAAAAGAGCTAAAGCTGCAATTAGACGGAAGGAGTATTTATCTTCATTGAAAAAGAGAGAAATGCATGAAAATAAAATATTATGCTTCATAGTTTCATAAATAGCAAAAGCTAGAAAATATCAAGAGTTTAGAAGAACACTATTCGAACTGAAAATTGACATTATTTTGTTCAATTTGTAAATTAGCTAGGGATCAGAATATCTTACAAGTTACAATGATATCTCCTCCCTCAACAAAATACAAATTGTAAACTCTTTAATGCTCACTGCAAATACGATATATCTCGCTTTATCAGATCTATGTGACCACGTTAAAATTCCAATTTTGTTGCTTTGAGGTACTTTCTTCCCATCAAACCAGGTGGAACAATATGTGGAATTTGGAGAATTACCAATATTTGTGACAACTCTTTTGACCTTTACAAATCCTTGATTTTGCTTAAATTTTTGTATAGAGATTGAAGGATAGTTTATGTCTGATATGAGTTGCTTGTTATTAGCAGTATTTCTTGGGTAATACAAATTATTTTCTCTTTGATATTACTCATCTAAGTTTGTTTCTCTTTGTAGCCATAATAATAGAGAAACTTATACTTCTTCCGTTTCAAAATGATTATTTTACTCAATCTTTTTGAACAGAGGAAGTAGTAATTATTCATGGTTGTTTCGAATATTAAGCCTGAATAATTGATATCTAGAGCTTTATAAATAGGGCTTAATTCCCCAGCACCTACTTCATGTGGATTTGCATGACGACTTAATGTATTTGTCAAGTGCTTTTATCAGATTATTAGATATTGCTATTGTAGAGGGAATTTTTTTTTAGTTATCACCAATATCTGAAGTAAAATAAGTAATACTAAGGTTTAAAAATTTAGGGGAAATGGACTATATTTGCAGCAATGTGATGATGATGATAATTATATTGTTAGAAAAAGTAATAGTACATGAAAACAAATAAATAATACTAACAACAATTTTTTCTATAAATAATTATTTATCAATTAAATAATCAAAAGAAAAACAAACTCAAAAGAGAAATAGAGGAGATTACCGTATCTTATAGTTAAACAAGTATAGAAACGAAAGTAACCTTACCATAATTGATAAAGCTTATTAGGCAATGTAAAGAGTTTGATTTGATATCTGTTTCCTCCCTCTCCCATTAGCTTTAAGGCCAACTGTTTCACTTTTCTATTTAAAAGGCAGCAACTGTTAAACAATAGTAGTAACTAATACTCACATAATGAATTGCATCCCTTCAAATAAATTGGTATTTTTATTTAAATAGTTTAAATTATTTAAAGAGTATTTAAGTAATTTACTTTTTGAGTTTTGGGCTTCCCATAATTAGTTTTTCCAAATTATAAATCAATATTGAGAGTTAATACATTTTTAATTTTTTTAAGTAAAATTTGATTATGGCCGTAAACATTCAATTTCAATCACAATAGGGCAGACTCCTTCCCTAAATTGAATGGACACAACTTTTAAGAAAGGACACTTTAAATATATTAGCTTCTTTTTAATTTTATGTATTTCTTAAATAAAATATTTACGTCATTTAGAAGGGTAATTTNATATATATATATGTTCTTTATAACAGCAATTCGCTATACCGATTAAAAAAAATCCGGAACAAATAAGGTTGTTATAGAAAAGTGTGACTACATTAGAGATTTAAAACCATGAAGTCTAAAACATATTTTATCTCAAATTGAACATGTCTCGTCAATTCAAATTAGTAAAGTAGTATCAAAAATAATTACTAGTAGATTTATTTTTGTGGTTAATAGGGTAATTTCAGTTGGCATAATTAATTGATCTACAAAATTAAATGCATGTTAAGTTAAGCTAGTAGAGTATGAAAATCAGTATATATTCTAGTGGTTAATTAGTAATTTCATATTTCCTTTATTTTGTTCTATTGAGAGAGCTATCATTGAATTATATACTTTTTACACAAAGTATAGCTTATATATTCCTTTCTTCTATTTAACTTTTTTATTTTCTTTTCTTCCTTTTATATTTTTTATATTGTGTTTTCTTCCACCTTGCTCGAAAACCATGTACGTATATAGCAGAATTTTGTAATTAGTTACACATAGAACGTTGCAATATGTTGGAAAAAACCTTCACCTTGACCTTAGTAAATTAATATATAAACTATCCTAATTTCTCAACAACAACAAAAAAATTACCCATAAATATTATAGAAGGAAGCTTTAGAGCAACGGTAAAGTAGTTTTCGTGTGACCTATATAAATCGCGAGTTCGAGCCGTGATAAAGTAATCTCCAATGCTTACATTAGGGTATGATGTCTACATTATACTCCTTGGGGTGTGGCCCTTCTCCCGACTCTAGAGTAAACACGGGATACCTTCTGCACAACACTACCTTTTTACCCGTAGAACATTATGTTTTTTCCTCAGCATGAATTTCCTAATCAATTTAGCATCAAATTTTCTTAAACTCAGTACGAAAACAGTGTGATTCTTTTAAAACATGCAAATAGAAGATAAACTACCTTTAAATTAAGTACTTCTTTAGTTCACCTTATGACTAATACGGAAACATATTAATCTAAAACTAAAAATTGAGAAAACAAACTAAAGAAACAATTTAACTCGAATTAAAAGAAAAAGAAGGTAGCTTAGAAACCAACAGGCAACAGAGTAAATAAATTTACCTGAAGGAAGGAGAAAGCGAGAGGATAATTGCGCCTGAAGAAGATGGCTGTGAAGGAGGATAATAACTATTACAAATGGCAGTCTCATCGTTGTTTCCCGGTAATATTACAGCAATAATATCAGACAGAATTAATTCGGATTTTCAAAGCTCTTAATACTGAAGTAAAGAATAAATATTAGAATAGTATTCTCAGCTTTCCTTTTTTTTTGGGTATACTTCACAGTAAAGAAACTCAAATGTTTGCTTTATTATCGTGAAGTTTCCTTTTGTATGATTTTTGTTGGCATCTTCATGGTTTGAAGGGGACAAATAGCGAACTTTTTAATTTGGCTCACATGACGTGCGTGTTCTGTTTAGATAGACAAGTGAGAATTCATAGTCCACCTTGTTTAGATTGAGGCGGAGTTATTGTTATTATTATAATTATCATGTTCGGACTTGTGCGTTAGTGTCCATCAAAGCTTGGATAGATGAGAATACTCCTTCTATTTTAATTTAAATAACATATTTTACTTAAATATCGAGAATCAATTTGACTAATATCTAAAATTAAATTAGATTAATTCAACTCAGTATTTTAAAATTAAAATTTAGATTTTCAAAAACTGTACAAATATAGTACTATAAGTTTCAAATTTTCTCACATCAATATAATAAATAAGAAATTTAATATATAGGTCAAATTTTACAGTTTGACTCTTGGTAAACACAATATGTCCAAGTTGAAATGGATGAAGTAGTTTTTTTTTGTCTTTGCTGCAATTTGAACAAACCTCATCATTATTAGGCCACTCCTTTAGGTGCCTCAGTAAACGTTAGTTCATAGAAACGTTCAGGTTAGGGTAAAAATGAAAAAAAAAAACAAGGAAAATATAGAACAGTCAAGGACACTAATCTTGGAAAATATTTTATTCACACTTAGTATATTAGAATACATTAAATTGATAAACATATGGCATCATTCTTTTTAAAATATTTGTTGCTCAACTTACTTAAAAAAACTTACGTAAATTTCACAAAATTTCCTTGAAGTTTCGGCTTGGAATATATATATATTTATTTTTGTGGTTCAAATATTGCATGAAAATCGATCATTTCCTGACATGTAATGTAACATCTTAAAAACTTAATTTGTAGCTTAAAAACATACTAATTTGCCCTTTTCCTCAATTTCTCTTAAAAACTAGCTTTTTTTTCATTGGATACATACATTTACAGAAACAAAAAAAAATACATACATTTAATCGTGCATGTTACTGATCAACTTCTTCAAATTATTCCCTATACAAACCTCCTTTCTTTCATCCGCCTAAGAAATCTATTACTCCATTATTTGGGCAATATTTGTCCATTAAACTTTAGTTGTATTCTTTTCCATTAAATATCACTTCCTTGAACTTCTGGCTCTAAATTAAGGGATAAAAGGAAAAAAGTAGCTCATAATGCACTCTTAAGCTAAGGCTTCAATTGAATTTACTGTCTAGGATTGTATTAGTTTGAGTGAAACTTTCTTTTAGCATTTCCTTATACTTAAATATTCAGAGTTATAGAGAAAACACAATTTTAATTGCTACAAAATGTCTTCCCCACGATGCACATGCGGTTGAGTTTTTTTTTTCATTAGCCAAATACGTGGAAAAAAAAATTCCATAAAGGGTGGTGTTGAAACTTGAACTCGAGATCTCTATCAGTCACTTTAAAGTATTAAGCATTCAATTCAAAATTTTAAATCAATGGGTAGAGTAACTGATACAATCTTGATAGTCATCGATCACTTTGATTCTAATTGGAGGCTACTTTATAACGGGGGAGCTACATGTGTAATTTGACCAACAATTGAAGTCTATCCTTTGACCCCTTTCTTTATTCGAATGTGGTTAGTTACAATTAAAATGTTGTTTCACTTTTAGTTCACTTAAAATATTTAATATATCAGTTACAATGGTTTGCATATTAGGTTCCACATCACATACACTTGGTGAACGACGTGATCCTGAGGCATCAGTCGTAATACTTAGCTCCTTAGTATAAATAGTCTTTAATGTTTTTATTTTAGACTTAGCGTATTTTGATATTGTGATTATGAATTCCTTGAGTGAGTGTTATAAATAAACTAGTATTAGTACCCGCGCGGATGCGCAAACACTAATCATGTCAAATATTTAAGTTATTTTGATTGTATGTAAATAATCTTAAAATTTACACTTTCTCAATAAATATAGATAATCATTAGATATTAACTACATGAAAAAAGTTAACAATTTCTTCTATTTTTCTTTTTTGATACCATTCTTGCCGGTCCTAAAAATAGTCAGGAAGCAAAATAATAACTCATATTTATGGCAAAACAATCAAATGTTGAGGCAATGAATGACTCTTTGGATAAGACTTAACTCTTTTACTACTACTTGAACTCTTATTTGGTGTGTTGATATATCTTAAAAAATATTTCTTTCTTAAAATTTCAGTTTCTAAAATATTATTTTTCAATAATAATTATTTTAATAATAATTTAATGAAAATATTATTCTTGATTCAAAACTCATTTCAGTTGGCTATCTAAAAATATAAAAAAAATTCTTTAGCTAGTGAATTTTTTTAATCCATTTTGATATTTGACATTAACCATGTTAAATATCTGATTTATTTGAATTATATGTAAATAACCTTAACATTTAAATCTTCTAAATAATTATAGATAATCATCAGATATTAATTAAGAAACACTACATGAAAAAATACTAACATTTTCTCAATTCTCGTAGTGATAATTTTATTTTTGCATTATTCTCATTGGTGTCATTGGAACTTAAAAATAGCCACAAAGTAAAATAATAACTCATATTTATGGAAAAGCACAAAGGTTGACATGATATAAACGATTCTTTGATTACGACGTGACTCTTATACTACGACTTGAACTCTTAGTTGGAATGATTTTATCTTTCAAAAAATATTTCTATTTTGAAATTTCAATTTCTAAAATATTATATATATTATAATAATAATTATCTTTATAATGATGCAAGTGAAGATATTATTCTTAATTTAAAATTCACTTTAATCGGCTATCTAAAAGTTTAAATAATTCTTTTGCCGGATTTATTTCAGTATGACTCCACTTTAAGTTTATCGATATATCTAGCCCCAGAATTTGAATTTTTAATATCCTATATATACAAATATTTTGTTCTTTGAATTATTAACTATTAAATTAATTGATTATTATTATAAAACATTGCATATATTATCTTAAAATTGTCGAGTAGTTTATCTTTCGACACTATACTTGGCTTAACCTCAATGCAAACTACTCAAATTGCATTCTAATTCAAATTCAAATATCATATGAGTTTGTTAGTAATAGTGATTTTTTAAAAACGACACATAATATAAATTAAAAAAAAATCGAAAATATCCTTATCTTATAATCTATGTATTTGAGTTGAAAACAAATATTTGAAATCGATGAGATTAACTTTCAAATTTTTTATACTCAAATTTTTTTAGATTTTTCTAATATTTTTTTCAATATTTATTTTGTTTTATCTTATTTTTATGTCATTATTTCTGTTGTTAAAAAATTAATTTATTTCACTATAAAAGGATGAGTTTTAATAAAAATTATCTACATATGAACTTTAATTATATTTTTAGTCTTTGGTTGAAATTATTTCATATTTTTCTTTTGGCTTTATCTAATCAGCTAAATAGGTGCTCACCCGACCACTTAAATTAAAAAAATTGAATGATGTGTTATTTATATATAATCCATATATAATATGTGTATAATCATCTGTTGTTGGTATATCATCTATTTATATTAGCTATAAGAAGTAAACAATAAATATGACCGGATATTATGTAAATATTCCATAAGATTTTGGTTTTTTGAGTTTATCCATGATATAACTTCTATTATAATAGTTTTAAAACTCCCTACTAATGTTCAAAAATATCTTTTCTTTTTATTATCGTTAAATTAAAAAAGCAAAAAAAATCGAAATAATTTATTTACATTTAAAAAAATATATATCACGTTATACCAATTTTTTCTTTATATATACTCTTTGTTACACTTAAAAGTCGCTATAGAAACTATCAATTAGAAACCAATTTATCTCTTCTTGAGTTTGAAAAAAAAAACCTTTCACATAATCTAATGATTCAATACTAATATTCTTCAACGAAAAAAATATTATATCCTTGCAATATTGGCTTGACTACAGCTAAATGAAGGGGTTTCAGCTTATACCATTGAATGTGCTAAATTAAAATTAATGATAGCAATTGTATAGCCAAAGTTTTGTTGTTTGTTTGATGTCCATTTATACAAATTGACTCTTAAAACAAATATTCTCAAAAAGAAAAAAGAAACAACTTTTTTTTTTTTTAATATTGACTGATTTTGTGATGTTTCTTTCTCCAGCATGTATGTTTACTTTATTATATATGTAAGTAAACTTTTATTTGGTTTTGTAAACTCTTTTTTGTTATTTAGATAAACATAGACGTGTACCCTATATATTATATTTATTTTAAAAGAATTTCGTTTTATTCAAATCTAGCTACAGTGTTTCAAAGAACTGTACTTATAAGATTTTAAATGTGAAAGAGTTTTATAGTTATATGGAGTAGTTTTTTTTTTGCTAGAGGCAAAGTAGTATTTAAATAATTATATAAAATAACAAAAGTTCCTAACATGATTGTATATGATCATTAACCGAATTAAGTATGATAACATGATAAAAAAGATAAATTTTATTTTTAATTTAAATTCGAATTTTAGAACTTTATCTATAAATTCAAAATTATCTTTTAATTCAAATTCCGTATATATATATATATATATATATATATATATTTAACTAAATTAGTCAAATATAGAATAAAGTTACCATAAACTATTGATATTTATTAGCTTGCCACTTGGTTTAACCATAATGTCAATTATATATGGTAACTTTCTTGCTTTAATATATATATAAATTTCTGTTATGAATAGAATTGTACTTAGAGTGAATGTTTATTTTTTAGAGAGATTGTTACGTTGTGGCTAAGTCATTTCCCCCTATAAATAGAGGGGTCTTAACCCATTGTAAATTATCCCAAAATCAATAGAATTATCTCTCTCTTTTCTTTGCAATATTCTTCTTTTACTTTATTATTTTATTTCACGTTATCAGCACGAGACTCTACCGTCTCAAGAAGCTCTTTAGAAGACTAAGGTATAA